TTGTATCGTCTTAAAATTGTTAATTATATGTAAAATTTAAACTATTTATCGTTTGGTTATTCACTCCCTCTTTCATTCCTCGTCATCCCAAGATTCGCGCATGGTCCTATCCCTGGCAAAAGAGATTAAATTCTCTTGCCTAAATTACGGACCGACGGATGCACGGCACGCAGTCGAAGTCATAGCGTCTTTTTCAAGACGTTGACTCGCACTCGTGGCTCTGCACGGTGTGTCCGACTCGTAGGGACGCCTCAGCGCGGCCACCTGCGAGAGGATATTTGGAGCGTCCTTCCAAGCCCCATTCATTTAAAAAAAAATATATAAAAATATATTTACCTCGGGTTGGACGTAACAATTTGTTAGTGGATAATAAAAATAGAGTTAATAAATATAATGATGAATAATGAAAAAGAAAAACTTGAAACTGAAATTTTAAAAATGCAATTGCAAAAAGAAAAATTGCAAGTTGAAATATTACAGAAAGAATTAGAGTTAAAAACTTTTATTTTAGAAAAAGAACAACGAAGATTAAAAATGTTATAAATATATATATAAAATATTTTTTTATAGATAAAAGTTCTTAAATTTTTATTATTTTCGTAAATTAAAGCAAAATTTAATTTTATTTACAGTTATTTTTATTTATTTTCAAAAAATGTGTTGATTTTAATTTTCCTATTATCATAGGTATATTTTTGAATAACCAAAAATTAAACCTTACATTATTACAAGATTACTTACATTTATTATAAACTACTATTACTTGTATTTATTATAAATTACTGTTTTACTCATAGCCTTATATATAATTATCAAATAAAAGGTTTAATTTTTACTCGTTTTGCGATATAAATATGATTAAAAGGAAATTTTATTTATTTGTCATAAATAAATAATAAATTAATTTGTCATAAATGTTATTTTATTTATTTACTGTACTAGCTTTTAATTATTTAACGATGACTATAGTTTGTTTAATAAAATAATATACTAAATACTGATATATTCATACGTTTTGCGCTGTCTTCTGCTTAAACACCGTTCAAACTTGTTAACCGGCCAAAAATAGGCGTTCAGAATGAACGTCGTTTAACTAACTTGAACTTATACAAAAAACTTGGTGGAACGCAAAATGTCATTGATCGGAGTTTAAACTCGGTTCAAATTTGAAGCACGTTGGAAGAAACGGACATTAGTCTGCACGAACGCGACGGCTCCTCCTCTCTGCTGTTTATATTCCGAATCTCTTTCTGCTTACAATCGTCTATTTCTTACATAGTCTTACAGAGTTTAACAGATCTTGATATATTTCTATATCTATATCCGAAAATAATTAGAATGTATTATCATTGAAAAATTGTAATTTCTCAAGATCTTTCACAAGATTATCACTGCTCCTTGACATAAGCAATTTTCATAGGAAAATATAGAATGAATCCAATATATACGTATATTTGCTCGTTGATTTTGTGTTGTAGCCAGACCTACAACTAATAATAAAAGTAGTCCGCATGAATTCGGAAAAAGTCTTTACGAAAGACGACAACAAATGCGTGATTGCCAAAATTGCGATCAGTCTTTCGAAAGAAACGCATCGCGCGAGAATATTGCGAAAAGTCTATCAGCAAATTCCTCAATTTCGAATCAGGTGTGATATTGATCAATCAATATCACGCGATCAATCGACGCAACCGATCAGAATGCTGATCGGGCATCGACCAGTCTATATAACCAGCTACATAAGGCGA